AAGCGTACACGGATTTGGGATTTTTGGCTCGATAAGTAGATAGCTATAGCTATGTTGTTAGCTAGGGTACGGCAGGGAGAAAAGTTGGACGACAGCAAGTATATATTTTCTTCAGATGGCATTTTTCCTTGAACCAGTTTGAGAATGATTGCTGAATTTCTAGAAATTTTAGAAGATTCTTCTTCTACACTAAAATCAATCTTGTCGTCAAACCCAAAACTGCAACATCCACGCTTTTCTCCAGCTCTCTTTTTAGTTCAAAACTATATATGCAAGTGTATGAAATGAAGATTTGATATCGAAAACTTGAAGAGAATCTCTTCTCTGTAATTAGTCAAATTATCTAATAGAATCATGTTCGGTAATAAAATTACTGACTCATCTTGAGTAACTTTACAAAACCATTTAAATCACCAACTGAAGTAGCAGCTTGCGTGTGTTAACAGATGAGCAGCTTTCTTACTCTCTCCAGCAGTGATTAATTAATATACAAATTGTTCAAATGAAATCATTATGTTTCTTGAAATAGTCAATTACCCTTTCATTATGGCTTCACCTAAATGATTCAACAAATTAAAGAACTTTTTCTGAATTGGAAATGTTCCATATTTTCCAATTAATTCAATAAAAAATAATAGGGTTAAGTCCCTACAAATTTATGATGTATCGAGTGCCCATGTGACACACATTGACTGAGCAGACAAAGGTTTTAAACAAATCCAGTTTCCTGGATATTAAATCCCTTCAAATTTAATCTTCAAAAAAAAAAAATCCCTTCAAATTTGACATGCCCCTCCCAGCAAGACAAGATCAATAAATCTCCAACTCCCAACCGTCTTAACATTGTCTGATTATTAATGCCTATAATACGAAGGACTACTTCTGCTTTGGTTATTTAAAGGTTGTTGGGGATTTGAAGCTTGGAAACTTAGCCAAAACCCAAAGGCATGAAGGAGACAACTAAGGCAACAATCACATGGAGTAGCTATCAAAGAAAAGTTAAAACCTCTCAACTGCTCCATTATTTATTATTATTTTGTCTGGGAACTTGGAAGAGTCCTCCAAGTCATTCTAAATTTGTATAAGTTTGAAGAAAGGAACAGCAAAGGAGACAAAAGGAGAGACGGAATAAATTCTCATGGAGTGGGCGCCATGCACGTTTTTTCCACTCCATGTGAATTCGACCATTTCAAACCCCAAAGGGATCGCCAAGTCCTCGTTGTAGGCGACCACAATATTGTTTTTTTCTTTAATTGTTTTCTTGTTTTAACCCTGATTTCTTTTTAAAAAATAAATACCCTTTGGAAGAAGGTGGTGAAAGAGAGCCTTTTTAATGGGGATTTGTTTACCGAATACAATCATGATCCCTTTTTTATGTTCATAAACATCCTCGAATCTTTCATTAGCATGCCACTGCTGAATGAATAAGGGACCCAATAGTGTTAAAAAATTGATTACGGGAGCTTTTATTTACTCACTCTTTCCACTTCAGTCTCTCTTTCTCTCTCTCACGATGTCAGATTATTTGCATTTTAATTTTTGATGGGTATAAACTTCACCATTACCCACCAAGGTTCAATACAATTTATACTAGATGCAAATTAGATTACGATTCCTTTTCTTCTTAAATTTTTTTATACTAGCTTGCACAAGAATTCTAACTGTGTTTCATTGAGCAAAAGCAACACATATACATATATCTATTACTAAATTAAATACTTAAGTGCAATTTTTCCAAATTTTGTTTTGATCCACCTTAATTGGTAACACGTATAATCTTTAGTCCATTTCCTTCGTGAAGTGACTTCAATTCTTGTGATCAAATATGGGTTACTTTTTTTTATCAAGTACAATTTTGAAAAAATTAATGAGGGATTGAATTCAGTTTAAACATATAATTATTATTGAACCAAATTTTATTAGAACATACGAGTTACTTAAATTCAAAAACAATTACATCATTAATTTATAAATTATGTATTGATATATAAAAATATAAATATATTACATATCTGTGTGCGCAAACACTTGTATAGTCAAAATATATTTTTGATAATCTCTTGTTACTATCTTATAAATAGACATTTGATATCGATACAGATACATATGAATGTAAAGATAAGATTAATATAACTATTCTCGTCTCCAGATCTTACTATACCATAATTGTCATATTTTTAGTTGACTTGAAGAGAAAAGAGAAATACTTTTATGGGAAGTATTTGCTACGAAGTTGTCCTGTGCTTGCATAAGGTCAAATAAGACCTACGACTTCTATGGCGTAATTATTGCTCACTGTTTATGACTTATATGAAAGGTGAAAAATTGTAGAAAATGAGAAGGCAATGGATAAGATAACACTACTTTACAGGTTGAGTCCTTCCGTCGACGATGAGTGACATGAAACCAAATAATTTTTTAAGTTGGAAAAAATGCGGAAAAAGAAGAAAAAGAAACACGGAAATATACTTTCACAAAAGCTCATCTGATCTTGTTGTGTTGGTTGACTACTGTATTGCGTCTCCCAAACCCACCCGCCTCGCCCACAAAAAAAAACAGAAGAGAATCCGAGGAAGACTCAAAGAAAGGGTGTTGGGTCGACATACATATATATATATATATATATATATATATATATGCCAAAAAAGCAAAGGTTCAATGTCCCTTGGAGATTACAAACGAAAGAACCATTTGGTAAACTTTGAATACTTATGCCCTTTTAATTAATTTTCTGTTTGGATAATTATCTATTGTGAGAAAATATCATCTTGCAAAATGCAAATTATACCGTTCATTCGTAAAGATAACGAGACTTCTTTCAGCCGAATAAACTTGTATGGGAAAAGAAGATTGTCTTATAAAGCTTGAAAACCTTTGTCATTGCAAATTAAGCTCTTGGTTGTAGCCTGATGCGGTTGTTCACATTGACGATCCTGGGCTTCGCTCATTACTTTGATTCACATTAGTTCTCATTGGTTAGAGTTTTGCTAAATGGATCAAAATTGAAATAGCAGAAGCAAAAAATATTAATATGTGGTCTTTAGTATATGTAAGAGACTTGTTTATATTTATATTTAAGAAATATCTTATATGAACAAACTATTTTGGATCTAAGCAAACAATACCTTAAAAGTGAGATTAATTTATATTATATATTTTATTAATAATTTCTCTTTAATTAATTTATTTATAACAAGTCCTTTTCTTAATTAATTAGAATAGATGACCTTTTTTTTTAAAACAAAGGGAAATTAGATTAGATGAAATTTAAATAAAGTCGTACACACATAATGATGATTGGAACCTATTATTAAGAAAGCGTAATGGCTGATCCTCGTCAAGACTTTCCAACTAGATTGGCGGCATCACAAAAGCTCTAGCTTTTCAGGGTATAGATTCGATCTAGTGTGTCTGGCGGATGCCTGGAGACGAATCTAATTAGGACAAGACTTTTAAGGATAAATTTCTTGGAGCTTTCGTTTAAAGTGGCATTGCCATTATCATTGCGTTTAATACGCAAGTCTCCGGAATCCTTTCCTAAAGTTGTCACCATTATGGCGTCTTTTTTCCAATGTGGTGGCTGAATAGTAAGCCTACCTAGGCTTCATACACTAAGTTTCTTCAAGTATTCATTGATTCATCTTATGCTATAAACCTCATGGAATTCTGTTGGCGCTTTCCCTTAATTTGAATTTGTTGGGAATTTTTTTCTTCAAATCGGAGGCTTATTCGTTGAGAAATTATTCGGTAATTAAGTTTATTTATTAAAACAAGTTTGCCTGATGAGAAAGAATTGTTATTGTATATGAAAAGGTAAGGGATTGCATTGTATAAATGTAAAAGCGTCTTGACGAAGTTGGGAGGATCGTAGGGTTTTACTTTTTGTTAAGGTAAGGACGGTGAGGAAGTTGTGCTTGGTTAAGAGTCTAATTATGGGTTCGAGAGGTTGTGCTAGGTTTTTGAAATTTATAAATTTGTAAATTTTCCATAACCATAATGGAATTTTGTTTCCTCATATGTGAATGTAGATAGAGAGCGTTGAACCATATATTTATATATATGCATGTTAAATTGTTTATCTTATATGTGTATGATTTGTTTTCTATGTTTTTTTTTTTCCATATCGGTGTGATATTTGGTTTTTACATTGATCTCCATTTGACCGTCTTTCTTTCTATTTGGACGGTGGCTGGCTGATGTGATTTTATTAACAAATTAATTCAAAAGAGAAGACAAATAAGTGGAAAAACTTATGGAAAGTACACCTAGTCCTTTGTTTTGGGATCCAACTCAGCACTAGCAAAGAGAAGCTAAGGTTAGATATACAGAGCAATCTCCTTCTATCAAGAAATCCTCAATTTTCTTTAATATCCTAAAAAAGAAAAGAGAGAAAGGAAATCAAGATTTCGACATTGAAGCTCATGTTCTATTGCTTAGGACATGCAAGAGCAATTATCCATGCTTAGTATAGACCAACCTCAAAATCATACGAATTTAAAAGAAATAAACAAACCCAAGGCTTAAAAAGATAAAAGAGAAAACAAGACTCGACAGACTTTTTCTTGTATTTTGTATGATAATTATGAGTAGAATTATACTAAAGTGTATTTTGCTTGTCCTTAAAAAACAGCCTGCGAGAGAAGAAAAGAGTGGCAAAGTGGCCATGCTCGCACACGTGAGCCTGTTTCTTACAAGTCAACGGCATTTACATCAGATCCCATTCATCTAAACATTGTATCAACCGTGTCCGTGTTGGCTAACAAGACCTTAGAAAATCCTTTGTCAACATTATTTTCCTTTTTTTTTCTCTCTCAAAAAATAATTAAAAATATTTTCCCAACTATGAAAATCCACGTAAACGAAACGGCATCGAAGCTTAGAGAAAGAGACGCGTCTTAGCACCTACCATTTTTTTATTTTTAACATCATTTCCCATCATCATTATTATTCAATTTATTTACTATTTTAAATTTTGTTTTGCTTCTTTCTGCTCTATAAATAGCCATTTTGTTGTTCCACCATCTTCCGCTCATCTCTCAAATTAAATAGCCATTCCTTTACCTGAAAGATTAATCTTTGGCTTTATCCAACTAATATTTCCAATTCTTGAAAGCCTCTCTCGTCTTCGTTCATCTTTCTGTATTTTGATTACCTGTCTGCAACAATCAGTTTTCATACTCCTAAGGAGCGAGTGATCCCCTCATCGTCGTCTTCTTCATTTCGTTTCCTGGAGGACCGTTGTCCCCTTTTTGCTTCTTTGTTGTTTGATTCTTTCTTTCATTTCTTTGAGGATGGTTTGCTTGGTTTCTCGTACGGGAAGGCACTTGCAGCGATATGACGACCTAGGCCGCCGCCAAGTTGTGGGGTGAGTAGCTAGTGTGTCCTGTTCCTATTGGCTTTCTGGTCATTCTCCATGTTGAGGAGTTCGCTCATTTCGGGTCAGGGTCTGGATTTTGTATCTTTTTTTTTTTTTTTTTTTTTTTGTGCTGTCCTTGGGTTGGGACGCTTGAGAAAAAAAGGTTTCAGTTCTTTGAATGGGGCCCTGCCATTTGTGGTCAGATTTTTTGTGCTAGGACTGTTTCCCTTCCCTTCTCTTTTTGGTCCATTAAGAAATATTCAATCATTGCTTGCTATGAATTATTAAAAACTCATTACTTTCTTCAATTTTTGATAATTGCAGGTGCATTCCTTACAGGTTCAAATGTAGCACTGATGGAACAATTAGTGATGACTTGGAGGTTCTTGTGATCTCCTCACAGAAAGGTCAAAAAATGATGTTTCCTAAGGTGCACACAGAGTTCATGTTCCTTGTAAAACAAATCATCAGAGTTTTTAAATTATATTGAAACAGATTAATAAATTAATATAACAATTAAATGGACATGTGTTAATTTTCTAACTTGTGTACGTAAAATTTTCAAATTTCACCGACTAGTATAAAATAATAACCCATTAATCTATACTCTAATTAAGGGTTTGTTGCATCTCTTAATTATGTATAATTAACCTTGATCTCTTGTTTTTATAATCAGGGTGGTTGGGAGCTTGATGAATCGAGAGAAGAAGCTGCTTTAAGAGAGTCAGTTGAAGAAGCTGGTGTTCTAGGCAATGTTGAGGTTGGTATCAATTAATCCTGTTCTTGCAGTTTGTCTATATAATCAAAATTCCTGGAGTACTTCTTGGAACTAATTCTTTAATATTTATTTTGTACTTGGACAGTGTGAATTGGGCAGATGGAACTTTATAAGCAAAAGCCATGGCACATTTTATGAAGGTTACATGTTCCCTTTGCTTGTGAAGGAGGAGCTTGACTTCTGGCCCGAGCAGAACGTGCGCCAAAGGGCATGGGTAAGTTCTTACCCCTCCTAGGACTCTTTAATTAATCACTACCAATTCATGATTTATATATATGGCAGATTTATTCAAAATTAAGTGCTAATTATAATGAAAACGTTTTGTTTTTTCCTTGTTTAGTTGAATGTGAAAGAAGCCAGGGATGTGTGCCAGCATTGGTGGATGAAGGAAGCCTTAGACATACTGGTTGAACGACTGACCTCCTCCTTGCAACAGAAGGAACAAAATATGTCAATATGTTCTTTGATTTAGTAATACAGAATAGTAGTTGTAACTAAGGCATTGCCATGCTCTTCAGCTTTGCATGTTTGTTAAAAAAAGCAGGGAGCAAATAGCAGTGGTTAGGGCCAATCTCTATTGACTACCCAGGAAGTGAGTTGCAGCTGGTAGATGTTAGGAAATAATTGTAAATTGATGGACGGCTGGTGCTGATAGTTGCGCCTCCTTAGGAAACAATTCATATCGAAAGTTAATTAGGTGAAGAGATCTTGCAAGTTGTACATTTCAATCCATGCCCTTAACAGCAAGTAGCATTGCTTGCGATCGAGTGGGCCATGATTGAACTACAAAAAACAAAACGAAACACAAAAAAAATTGATCCATTTTAATGAGGATGGAATCCCTTCAGTTTTTGCATGAACCATGCTCTCTTTGCCCATAATTTTTTTGGTCTTTTTCTCAAATTCCATTCCATTCTTATCACTTGAAATAAGTTCAAGTGGTTTTTTTTTGGATTTTTCCTATCCAATACAATTTAGAAAAGAAAATTCGAATCTAATTCTTTCGAATATATATACTTATTATTAAGTCAACTGATTAAATGCATGTATCTTTATTTATTTACTCAAACATTTATTTTCTTGAAATGATATTGTTGAATTAAGATGTCGCCCACCTTGATTAATTGTTGCATAATGCAAAATAATTATTTAAAAATGTTATTAAAATTGTTAATGATATTGTGCCGAAGATGTGAGATTAAACCAACATAACTAGTGGTCATGAAGCGCCGAAAATGTAAAGAGATATCTGATATTGATATCTCCCCCACCTCTCCAAGAAAAATAATTGACGAGAAAAGCTCCAAATAGTTCAAATATCGCAATCATCTTGCAAATTATGGGAAAAGGAATATATTCTCTCTTTTTTGTTTTCTTTTCCTCTTTCCCATCCATCCCTAGTGGAAAAGAGCATGAGAAGTGTTCGGCCAAAAGCAAGTTTCCTTGGTTCAATCATTTCCATCAGGTATCATATTCTTTGTTTTCTTCCACACCTTTTAAAGTGTTCTTTGTGGTGTCCGGTGTCCACCACTGCACGAATTAAAGAAAATAAAGGTTAATGGCAGGCATGAGAGTGAAAGAGTTAACGAGTTACTGTAAATTCTCGGAGGGGAAAAAGGAAAGATATACAACAACTCGAACCCGCTTAATCTAAATTTGAAATAATCTGAATACTTAATTTAAAAATGGTCTAAATCTGAAATAATTGGAATTTAAAAATTATCTAAATCCAAATAATTCATCCAAATTCGATTTAATTGAACTTTAAAAAAAATGATACAATAATTAGAATATGAATAATTCGGATGTTAAACCAAGTGACCTAAATCGAAATGATTAGAACTCAAAATGATTGGAACCTAAAAATACTTAACCCACCCATTTGCCTCCAATACTTTAGATAGTAATCAAATCATAATGGATACATAAACATTGAAATAGATTTGGATGAGCAGTGCAAGATTTTCCATTTTTGTTACCAAATCTTTTCCAGATAATATGACACTGCCAATTAAGGACTTGAAAGCTTATCGGCCAGCATGGCCTAGCAAAAGAATTTTTCTTTTTATCATCCCATGGCCTTATCCAAGACTTTTTTTTTTATATATAAATGGGATAGTAAGATGTTATTTCACAAGAGGGGTTTACAAAAAGAACCTTGACTGTATGCCTGTGAAAAGAAAAGCAAAGCATGCCAATCCTAGTTGTAATTAAGATGAGATTTAATGTTTGTTTGGTTTAGTTTTTTTTTAATTTATTTATTTCTTAAAAATAGAAACAAGACCAAACAGGATTTTTGAGAAAGCTCTTAAATAAAGCAGCATTTTTTTAAAGAACAATTTTTTTTTTAAAAAAAAGGCTCTAGAGAGAGCTTTCTTTTCTCATCTTTTAAAAATATGTCAGCTTTTCAAAAAATACTTTTCTCTCTCAATCAATCTCTGTCCCTTTTCCCTCTTCATGTAAATCACCATTTTTCAATGTAAAATCATGATCTTCCTCTCTTCCATCTCTTTTTACAAAAGACTATTAGAAAAAAAATAAATAAAAGACTCAACAACAGAATAGCAAAATCTAAGATTTTTTTATTCTTACAAAGATTAAGAAAAATGAAAACTCAAAATTTAAAGCTGCATTTAGGTATTATTTGGAAGTTTTCTCTCTTCACCAAAAAATCTAAACCTGTTTCATTTTTTTATGGATTTTTTTTATTTTTAACATCTAAAATCGTATATAAACTAAAAGCAAATTTGTTCCCCTTTGGTTTATTAGGTGATCAAAGATAGTATGAATATCCGTTATGGTAATTTTAACCAAAATTAGAATTTATATAATTTATTTTACCGAACAGCTTGCTAAACAGTTTTAGCTTAATTTTAAAAGCTATTATTTTTCATTAAAGCTTTATAATAGCTTTTAAACAAAAAAAAAAAGTTAAGCCAACCAAGCTCCAAACAATTTTTAAAATGACATTAGCCCAACAATGGTTCTTTCCTAAGTATAGACTCATCCCAATGCAACTAAGTTCACTATACAAAAAGGAAGTCCTTATAAAAAGCTAAACTTTACATCATATGCACGGTAACTATACAATTTCAGCCTTTTCTTTCTCCTTAGATGGCAGCAAGCCCTTAGAACCTGTCTCCACATTTTGCAACAATCATGAGGCATGCCAATAGGTTTCAAAATGTAATAGGAAAATCTAAGCCTATCTTAAGGTAACAATTAGTATGAACAGTCACCCACATAATGGGGTCATTCATTGGTGTTATCATCTCCATACGCATATAACACATCGGAATAACTTAACATACCTAACTTGGCAAGATCATTAGCCCTTTGGTTCGCTTCACTGTTTATGCGATGGATGGACCAACTGGTATCTTTCTTCTTCATGTTCTCAATTTACACAATCCATTTTCAGAGACGCCAAGGGGCTTGTCGTGGGTGATTGACCCACATAACAACATTAGGAGAATCACTTTCTAGCTCAAGTTTGTGGGAGTTACCCATTTTGAAGCCACAAAGGTAGTGTATGTTTCTTTGACTGCTAGAAGTTTAGTAAGGTTTGAGTCGCTTAACCCAATTGATTTTGAGAAATAGGACCTCAATGTTGTCATTTTCATCCTAGAGGACACCCTTTATACCTACTTCTCTAAGGCATTTTCTTGTAGCATCATTTATATTGAATTTGAGTGTATTCTTATTAGGTGGAATCCATTCTAAAACTCTTTTTTCCTTCTTGATAGGTTTGGGGATCACCATATTCTTACGATAGCAAAAGATGTCTTGAATCGTGTTGCTTCCATTAGGCCATTTTACTTTTAATCGCATGGTGACCCTTGTTTTAGCGATATTAAAGACCTAGTTGGCGTACCATATTTTTCCTTTAAAAACCATGTCATTCCTAATGAGCCATATTGTCCAAGTGGCTGCGAAAAAAAAAACCATCTCCCAAATGGTAGTTTCACTTTTCATTGTGGATGGTGGCATTCCAGATAACAAAGAAAGCTTACGGTGCACTTAGTCCAATCTAACAATGTCCCCATTCATTGCACCAGCTTTACCAAATTTTATATGACTATTTGCAAGTGAAAAAGAGGTGGCTTACAATCTGAAGGTCATTATTGCACAGAAGGTAGATTACAACATCCTTAAGGAATATGCCCCTTTTATCCAGTTCCATCCTAATTGTTGCTTTTCCCAACAAAAGTTGCCTACAGAAAGCTTCCACCCTGTATAGTTCCAACCTAGTCCAAACCTTTCCCTAAATGTTATCATTGGTTCTACCTTGGTTTCCTTGCGATTTAATAAAGGATTTAGTTGAGAAATCCCTAACTCGTGTACCACGCCAAATAACTTTGTCTTGAATGTCTTCACACAAGGTCCAATCACCCAAAGTGGCCCATAGTTGCTCCCATTATTCGATTTCCCAATCAAATAGCTGCCTTTGCAGTTAAATTTGCCATGTCCATATGCTATTGACCCAACTACCAAAATTGGTCACCTTGCCCTACTTGTTCACTACTAATGCAAAATTCTAAGAAAGGCAGTTTTGAGAATAAAACAATCAATCCACATACTTGTCCAGAAATCAACACTTTTACCATTATCAATGGCAATACCAAAGCCAAAAGAAACTTGAAAAATATATTTGTTAGTGGGAGATAAGGGTTTGATAATATTATTCCAAAGTGAGGAACATTTCCAATTTCGACTCACAACCGGAAACAACCTGTTAGAGTCATTTCGACATTTCTTCACTATAGTCTCTCTCTATAAACTCCTTTTCTGATTCTCATATCTTCACAACTATTTTATTTAAAAGAGCCCTATTTTTCATTTATAAGTCAAGAACACCTAGCCCCCACTGTTTTTCTCATGGCACGCATTACCAAAACCAACATAATAGATCTTGTCTTTACACCTATCTCTCCTACCCCCACACCACAAGAATCGCCTTTGAATTTTTTTAAGTTCATTTTTTATTCAAATTAGGATTTGATAGAGTGACATGAAATAGATTGGCAGACTAGACATAACCGATAGTAGGAGAGCATTCTTCCTCCTATTGAGAGAAGCTTCTATTTTCAACTTACCAGCTTAGCCTTAAACTTATCCACTTTAGGTTTCCAAATTTTTTGGGTGTTTTTAAAGGCTCCAAGATGCAGACCTAAGTAGGTTGACGGAAGGTTAGTTATTTTGCGAGAGATCCAACATGCCCAACTTTCCAAAATTATATGGTCCACTCTTACACCAAATGAGTAGTTCTTGGCGATGTTAATTTTTAGTCCTGAAGTTAGTTAAAAGCATCTTAAGACCCTTTTGGTAATTAACAAGCTCTCTAAATCTAGTTTTGAGAAAATGAAGGTGTCGTCTACAAATTGCAAATAAGAGATACAAAGGCTTGAATTCCTAACTGAGATTCCTCTGCATAAACCCAACTAATTTGCTTTCTTCATAAAAATACTACAAGCCTCCATCACCAAGTTGAAGAGAAATTGTGAGAGGGGGCATCTCTGTCTTAGGTTTTTTCGCATTTTGATTTGAGATGTTGGTACACCATTAACTAAAACAAAAACTAAAGCAGTTGTAATAATACATTCATGTATCGACGTCTACCACCTCTGTCCAAACCCCATTTTTCTCATAACCAACAACAATAAATCCCAACTTACACTATTGAATGCCTTCTCAAAGTCTACTTTCAACATCAATCCTCCTTTCATATCTTACTTTAAAAAATCCACAACTTCATTATATATAAAGGTGTAGTCAAGGATCTAACATCCTTTGATAAAAGTGAACTGTAACTTGCTCACAACCTCTAAGATGACCCATTTTAAACAGTTGGCCAATAGTT